AAAAAAAAAAAAAAAAAAAAAACACATTTAGCCCTGTGAATATATATCTTCCTCGTAGCTCCCTCATGAATTGGCCCCTTCAAGGGTCGCAATTTCTCCCTCTACTTCTCCTACACAATCCATTCTTCATCACCTACTTCTCCCCTCACTGCCTTCATTCACTTGAGCTCCATGTGTGCACTGCATCTAGGCCTCTCTGGGCTCGCAGCCTGGGGCATAGTCACAATAACAATAGTAATGAAGCTACCTATGTGTCAGGGCTTGTTCTAGGCTCTTCCTATCCATTTGATTCCAAGCAGGAGCTAAAAGAAAAAAAGAGGTTGGCCCCAAAACTTGACTTATCTGATGGTTTGGGATGGATCTTTCCAGGAGCTGGTACAACTCTGGGTAAAGGAGATAGGTATATGCTAGGCCTTCAATAAATGTTTATCAAAGGAAGGAACAATATAATTGCTTACCTTTATAGCAGGTCCCATACCTAGTAAAACATAATCTCCAGGAAGCCCTGGGAGGTGAGCATGGCAAGGTCATTATTTTCATTTTATTGAAGATTCCAAATGAGTGAGAAGGAACTGCTTCCAGCTGCACAGGTGGTAATGGCCTCTGGTCCAAACTGCCACTCCTCTGAAGGATAGGCAGAGGGGTCTGGTGTGGCACAGGGCAGAGAAGAGCTGTGCCAGGCTGGGGGAATCTTTTGAGAACATCCATTCGGTGATTTCAAACCTCATTGGGCATCACAATTTCTTGAGGGAGAGGGCCTTCAAATCTGCCAATGTAAACTGGGCAAGGTGGAACATGCCCATAATCCCAGAGACTTGGGAGGCTGAGGCAGAAAGATCGCAAGTTCAAGGTCAGCCTCAGCAATTTAGTGAGACCCTGTCTCAAAATAAAGAACTGGGGCCGGGTGCAGTGATGCACACCTATAATTTCAGCAGCTCTAGAGGCTGAGGCAGGAGGATCAGGAGTTCAAAGCTAGCCTCAGCAACACAGAGGTACTAAGCAACTCAGTTAGACCCTGTCTATAAATAAAATACAAAAAAAAAAAAATAGGGCTGGGGATGTAGCTCAGTGGTTAAGTGCCTCCGAGTTCAATCCCTATTACCCACCCTCCCCGCCAAAACAAAAAACAAAAAAAAACTGGAAATATAGCTCAGAGGTAAAGTGCCCCTGGGTTGAATTTCCAGTACTAAACAAAACAAAGCCAAAAATAAAAATAAAAAAACTGCCAAAGGAGGTGCTGCCTTCAGGGCAGAGGTGGCTCAGAGGTAGAGCAAGGATGTGTTTACTGGTACTGAGAATTGAATCCGTGGGTGCTTTTACCGCTGAGCCCAGCTCCAGTCATTTTACTTTTTTATTTTGAGATAGAGCCTCACTTAATTGACCAGGCTGGACTCAAAGTTGAGATTGTCCTGCCTCAGTCTCCTGAGTTGCTGGGATTATGGATGTATGCCACTGCGTCCAACTTAGAGCGCGTATTTAACATGCTCTGGGTCCTAGGTTCCATCCCCAGCACCACACATACTTTCACATACACAAAACCTGTCAATGACCAAAGTCTTGGAAATTTTGATTCAGTGATTGTTCTGGGCTGAGATGGGAATTTCTCAATAAAAAAAACACTTTTAGGGCTGGGGTTGTGGCTCAGAGGTAGAGCACTCGCCTAGCATGGGTGAGGCACATGCTAGATCCTCAGCACCACATAAAGTTGAAGACATGTGTCCACCTATAGCTAAAAAATAAACTTAATAAAAACACTTTAACCTGTCACTTTATAAATGAAGACGCTGAGTTTGGAGAGGGAATTCTAAACCAGCTAATAGTTATTGAGTGTTTACAAAGCCAGCCACTGTTGTGAATAGCCGGCACAACGGGGACCATCATCAGTTCTTTGGCTCAGGTGAGAAAACAAAGCACTCCAGCATCTCACAACCAAGAATCGGAGGGCCTGGGATTCAAACTCTAGAGACCTGGCTTCAAAGCCTACATTCCCCACCTTGACCCCATGGCCGTCCACGCCAGAGTCACAAGGAAGCTAGTGGTGGAGCCAGACCCAGATCCCAGGTCTCATCTGGGCAGAAAAGTCAGAGAGCTTGTCAAAGGGGGTGAACTGAAGTCAGAGAAGCTGCAGTGCAGGAGAAGGCTGTGATGCTCCCCCATCACAGGGTGGAAGGGCCGTCCTGCTAGGAGGCCATCTTCCTCTACTTCCTCCCCCTCCCAAGGGGAGCCCTGACCAGTCCCAGCTGAGCTGTCACCCTCCCTGTGCTAATTGAAGCAACCTCTTAATTGCTGATCACTTGGAAGCAATTAAGCCCAATTAGGGAGCCAGCAGCTAATTAGTGCTCAGCTTCCCACAGCCTCTGGGCACCCCTGGGGTCTGCAGGAACCTGCTGCCCACCTCCCCACCCCCATCCCCAAGAAGGAGGATTATGAAAGTGTGGGGCAGGTTGATGAAAGTTCATGCTCTTCTTTGACTCTCCCAAAGATCAAAGGTTGAGCATCTCGGTTTACCCCCCACCTGTAGACCATATGGCAGCTCTCTCAGGTCCCACCAGACACGACTTGCCTTCCGTGACAACCGACAACATTCATATCACTCCATAGTTCACAAGTATTTGCCTCAGCCTCCCAAGTTGCTGGGATTACAGGCGTGTGCCACCGCACCTGGCTCACCTCCATGATTCCTGATGGAACATGGTTGACAGGTGGGATATGAACTGGGCACCTTCTTTTCACATGCTACACTGTGCCAGCTTGTTCCATTTAATCTGCTTTTTCTCTCTGTGCTCACCTGCCTGTTTCTGTTCCAGAGAACCCAGCACCAAATTCAAGATCAGAGCACTTGGAATCTGCAGGCAGGGAATCTAGTTCACTCTTCCATCACTTGCTCTGTGACTTCAAAAAAAAAAAAAAAAGACTGCCTTTTTCGGGCCTCAGTTTCCACATCCACAGAGCAACAGGACCAGACTGAAAGATCTCTCTACTCTTTTTAGTTCTTGTTTTCCTTCCAGGGCTGGGGATTGAACCCAGGGCCTTGCCCATGCCAGGCAAGCACTCTGTCACTGAGCCACATTCCCAATCCTTAGATTTCTAAGGCCCTTCCAACCTCCATCCATTTTGCTACAGGAGAAGAAAGAACGAGGGGTTGGGTTTCCTTCTTGCATGTCATGGAGGCCTAGGGTGTGATGGGGATACCCCGTTGGTACTGAAATTGTGGGGGCCCCACAGCTGAACAAGAATGAGATTATTCTGATAGGGACTAGAAGAAGCTGGGAACCCCCAGGTTCCATTAGGGGTTGGAGTTTGGGGGTAAGCAGATATGACGATAACGAGAATATCTCTCTCTCACTCACACACGCACACAGATTTACACGTACTCCTATACTCAGGACCAGGACAGAGAAAGTGAAAAGGGATGGATGTTCGGGCCTATTCTCTTGGTCTTGAAGGCAAATAGAAAGTAGGCTGGATACAGTTTCTTGCCTACATCAGAAAGGCCGTTTGCCAGCCTCCCTCCCTCTCAGTGTTGGGCTCCCGCAGGACAGGCAGGCAAGCGAGGCTGGGGGAGATGGAAGGATCCTTTCTCCATGTCCTCTGAGGCCTGAGCTATACTCTATGTTCCTCTTCGTCCTTTTCTGCTTTCTGGTCTTCCCAAGAGTGCTGAGTCAGACTATCCTGTGTGCTAATCCTGGTTCTGCCATTCATATACCCACCTATGTCACCAAGACACTTTTCTTTAAAATAGGGGATGACAGTATTTCCACAAGCATGTTGTGAGCAATGAGAGGGACGTACGTACGTGTGTGGAACAGAGGGTGGACCCCGTGGGGGCTCAGTTCCTCCATCCTTCAGGTCCCCTCCCAGGCACAGCAGAAGCCCAGGGGCCAGGGTTGGGAGACTGCAGGAGCCACAGGGCATCCGGTCCCCAGCACCAGGGTCCCTCTGCAGCCTTCCCTTTCCTGTGATGAATCACTGCTCATGGGCCCTGGGGACCCAGGAGTCCCCAGCTTGCCACAAACACTACCGTTGTCATGGAAACCAGGCCTCCCCTTCCTCTTTGGCTGATTGATTTCACCGCATGGCCTCCCACACTGTGGTTCCTAGATCTCAGCTTTTGACTCTCGATTGACTTAACTGTCTCTCATTTCAGGTCCCCAGGAGAACACCAGTCTCACCGTCACTCTCATGGTCTGCACTCACAGTCCTTCTGGCGGGCCTCTTTCCTCCACGGTGGCCCCACTCCCTTTCCTTCCAAGTTCCTTTGGGAAACTCATAGGCAAACATCTTTCCAGAGGGGTGAGGAGGTGCCTGCCTGTCATCCCAGAGACTGGGGATTCTTAAACAGGAGGATTGCAAGGCCATCCTAGGCAATTCAGCCAGACCCTTTCTCAAATTAAAGAAATTAAAACGGGCTGCAGGAGTAGCTCAGTGGCCGCCACTCCTGGGTGCAATCCCCAGCACTGTAAAAGAAGACAGAAAGAAAACATCTCTCAGAGGGGGATGAGGGAGTCACCCCAGCTGCCTGGGGCCTGGACCCTTGCTCGGGCGTCAGGACCCCATCTGTCCAGCATCAGCTAGACCTCCCAGCGTTGGTGGATGAGATCAGCCAGGGCAAGGGAGGTGGCCCCGGGAAGAGACCGACAGGCGCTGGCGCCACCTGCTGGAGGGGGCCCGCGGACAGCCCCACCTTCTTCCCGATGGGCGTGTCTAGCCCTGAGTAGCAGAAGGCCCTGGCCACGTGTCCTTTCAGAAGAGAAAGTAATCCATATCTTTTGCTCACTCATTCATTCACAAGTATTTACTCAGGGCCGTCTGTGTATCCTCGTGGAACAAGTGATGAAAGTTGCCAGGTGTGATGCACACACCTGTAATCCCAGCAACTAGGGAGGCTGAGACAGGAGGATTGTGATTTCAAGGCCAGCTTCAACAATTTAGTGAGGCCCTAAGCAGTTTAGTGAGACCCTGTCCCAAAAGAAAACATTAAAAAAATAAAAACGAAAAATGGCTGGAGATGTGGCTCAGCATCCCTTGGATTCCATTCACATACCAAAAATAAATAACTAAAAATAAAATAGGGCTGGGGCTGTTTAGCTGCCAGTAGAGCCAAGTAGTTTCAATCCCTAATTCCTGAAAACACACACACACACACACACACAGAAACATTTTAAAGTGGTGGAAGTTCTCAAAAGGGGAGGCTCAGGGTCAGGGACTGGATGCACCTGACCCAGCTTGCTGTTGTGGAAGGGATGATTAAGCTGAATCCTGAATAATAACAACCAACATTTATTAAGCACTTTCTGTGTACTAGACGCTGCTATGTCAGTACTTTAAATGCTTTTCCCCACTAATTGTACAACAATCCCATGAGGTAATTGCTACCATTATCTTCATTTTATAGATAGGGAAAACAGGTTCAGAGGTGCTAAGGAATCTGCAGGTGGTCACAGGTAGTAGGCAGGCTCCTTGTCCAACTACAGGCTCCTGCTTGAAAAGTCAGGTGAAGAAAGTTGTAGCCAGGGCTGGAATCGTTGGCTGTGTGGACAAAGGAGGAGAAATGGGTGAAGGGGACCAAAAAGGAACCCCCAGGCAGGCAGCAGAAAACCTAGGGAGGGACTAAATATTTCTTCTTTTTGCAGCACTGGGGATTGAACCCAGGGCCTTAGCACATGCTAGGCAAGTGCTCCACCACTAAGCTACATCCCCAGTAGAAGCAGAAGGAATTCTGAGAGGACAGAGGCACCAAAGGGTCAGAGGTCAGAAGTCAAATAAGATAACAACTGAGACTGGACATGCTCCTACTCACTGGGTGCTCCAGGCAATGTGGAAAGTTGGGGCACAGAAACATAAGGAGGCCAGAATAGGTAGTCTCTCTGCAAAGGTCTGAACACCAGGATGAGGTCAACCAGTAGATCATGAGTAGTCTACCAAGAATGCCTGAGAGGGCAGTTAACCATCTGGAAAGGCATGCAAGTGCCTCGAGGACACTGGGACTGGATGTAAGAAATAATTGGAGGTCTGGGGACATAATGAAAGTGTAACAGCCTGACCTCTGACCCCCAGGCTCCTGAGGGAGCTGGGATAGGGACTAGTGCAAGAAGGTGCAGCTAGAAGAGTACCTTGGGAGAGCCTGGTGCGGTGGTGCATACCTATATTCCAGCTGCTTGGGAGGCTGGTGCAGGAGGATTGCAAGTTCAAGGCCAGCCTCAGCAATTTATGGAGTCTGTCTCAAAATTAAAAAAAAAAAAAAAAAACTTAAAAAGAGCTGAGGATAGAGCCCTGAGCAGAGCACTCCTGGGTTCAATCTCCAGTACTTTTTTTTTTTTTTAAAAGTCCTTAACCACTGAACAACATGCCTCGTCCTTTTTGTATTTTATTTAGAGACAGGGTGTCACTCCTCAGTACTTAAAAAAAAGACTGGCTGTGAACTCGAAATCCTCCTGCCTCAACCTCCAGAGCCACTGGGATTACAGGCATGCATAGTACCTGGCTCACTCCCCAGTACTTAAAAAAAAAAAAAAAAAAAAAAAACGTGCCTGGGAGACCATCTTCACCTGCAGTGGCGAGCTGCTGAACCTCTAATATAAGCCCGGTGTTCACATTGAAATCAACCATGGTGAGAGAATTTACACCGTAGAGGTTCATATTTGCCACAAATCACAGCTTTCCCCACTCCTCTTTATTAAACATTTACCAGCATAACAATTCTCCTGTGCCAACTTCACAGAAGAGGAAACTGAAACCCAAAGATAAGGAAGGACTTATCAGAATTACATATGGAATTTTCCCCCTTTGATCCTTTCAATCAATCATTGACTCAACAAATTTGGAGCCAGGAGCAGTAGTGCACACTTACAACCCCAGGACTTGGGAGGTTGAGGCAGGAACATCTCAAGTTTGAGGCCAGCCTCTGAAACCTAGTGATACCTGTCTCAAAATAGAAAATAAGGACTGGGGATGTAGTCCAGTGGTAGAGCACACACCTAGCATGTGTGAGACCCTGGGTTCAAGTTCCAGTACTACCAAAAAGAAAAGAAAAAGGGCTGGGGCTGGGGATGTGGCTCAAGCGGTAGCGCGCTCGCCTGGCATGCGTGCGGCCCGGGTTCGATCCTCAGCACCACATACCAACAAAGATGTTGTGTCCACCAAATACTAAAAAATAAATATTAAAACTCTCTCTACTCTCTCTCTTTAAAAAAAAAAGAAAGAAAGAAAAAGGGCTGAGGATCTAGCTTAGTGCTAGAGTATCCCTGGCTTCAATTCCCAGCACCGAAAAAAAACACTAATAATAATAATTACTATTATCATATCACGTGCCGAGTGCCTCCCCTGTGTTAGGCTTTGGAAAGAAACATCCACTGTCCTGCTGGAAGCTCTTTTTTTTTTTTTTTTTAAAGAGAGGGGAGAGAGAGAGAGAGAGAGAGAGAGAATTTTTAATATTTATTTTTTAGTTATTGGCGGACACAACATCTTTGTTGGTATGTGGTGCTGGGGATCGAACCCGGGCCGCACGCATGCCAGGCGAGCGCGCCACCGCTTGAGCCACATCCCCAGCCCCTGCTGGAAGCTCTTTCAGTCTGGTGTAGCACGCAGAACATAGAAATTGGCTTTGAACACTGAGGGCTAACTACCAGCACGGGCAAATACGGGTGCTGTAGCCTTGTGGGGGTGCACATCCATCGGCTTGGCCAGGAAGGCTCCTCAGAGGACATGACACAGGTCTGGAGGGTGCATTCAAGACAGAGGGAAAGCAAGCGAAAGGCCTAAGAGCCGAGGGCCTGGCAGGAGCCTGCGAGCCATGCATTCCTTGTGCAAGTCTCATTTTGCCAGCAGTGACCGGGAGGAGGGGTTTACAGTCTAGAGATACTTGCTGGTCCACCAGCCAAAACCTACGTCAGTGAGTTAGCACAGGGATCGCATTCCTGAGCCCCAGTCTAGGTGTGGAAATTGAGGAATCCAGTGACAGTATAGGCCAAGCCTCTTGCAGACAGCACCCCCTGGGGGCCAGATGGGGGAGCTGTGAGAGGTTAGGTGACAAAGGGAGGGAAGACATGGAGCAGGGTGTGCGAATGAAATAGGGTAGAAAAGCAGAGCGAGAAGTTGAATATTGGGCAGCATATGTGGTGGGGAGGAAAGTATAGATGAACAGGCACAACTTCCAAAGAGCAAACATGTATTGAGCATCTACTGTGTGCCAGGCACTGGAACACAGGAGTAGATTAGATCCAGTTCTTGTCCTCAACGGAGCTTCTGATGTATTGGAGTAATAAACAGAAGCAGGACGGGTGCAGTGGTGCATGCCTGTAATCCCTGCAGCTCAGGAGACTTAGGCAGGAGGATTGCAAGTTCAAAGCCAGTCCCAGCAACTTGGTGAGGCCCTGTCACTCAGTGAGACCCTGTCTCTAATTAAAATACATTAAAGGGCGGAGGGGGGAGGCAGAGAATGTGGCTCAGTGGTTAAGCACCCCTCAGTTCAATCCCTGCTACCAAATAAATAGTTACAATATAGTTCTTAGGAATGGTAAAAAAGACACACAAAAGTAATCAGGGGGAATTTCTGGAGGGAAAATGACATTGAAATGGAAGATGAAGAAGCATTATCCTACCCAGGTGAAAGGCGGAGTAATGGGAGGGAGGTTTAGGGTCAGCTGGATAGGAGGACAAGGGCCAGATCATGAAGAACATAACTACAGGAAGGAACCTGAATCTAACGGCAAAGGAAAGCTAATCCAGGGTTTCAAGCAGGAGGGTTTCATGAGTAGATTTTATTTATTTATTAGAATATACTGGGGATTGAACTCAGGGTCACTCGACCACTGAGCCACATCCCCAGCCCTATTTTGTATTTTATTTAGAGACAGGGTCTCTCTGAGTTGCTTAGTGCCTCACCATAGCTGAGGCTGGCTTTGAACTCACCATCCTCCTGTCTCAGTCTCCGGAGCCACTGGGATTACAGGCGTGTACCACTACGCCAGGCTCCCAATCCTTTATATTTTGAGATAGGTTATAACTAACTTGCCCAGGCTAGTCTCAAACTTGGGATCCTCCTGCATCAATCTTTAGAATTACTGGGATTACAGACATAGGTCACCAAACCCAGTTAGATTTATTCCATTTATTTATTTATTTACTTACTTGGATACTAGAAATTAACTTTTTTGTGGCGCTGAGGATCAAACCCAGGGCCTCACGCGTGTGAGGCAAGCGCTCTACCACTGAGCCCCAGCCCCAGCCCTTTTTGTTTTTTATTATTTATTTATTTAGAACTCAGGCATTTTGATTTATTTTTGTTGTTGTTGTTTATTTTGAGACCAGGTCTCACTGCATTGGTGTGGGACTCTCTAGGTTGAGGTGGTTGGTCTTGAACTTGCAATCGTCCTGTCTCAGCCTCCCGAGTTATTACAGGCATGCACCCTCACACCCAGACAGCTAGATTTCTTTTAAATGATCTCTCTGACTGCTGTGTGGAGAGTGGACTGAAGCAGGCAGGGGCAAGGCAAGGACAGAGGCAGGGAGACCATTTACAGGCAATTTCAGACATGGTGACGATGGCTCACATTGGGAGGGTAGCAGGAGCAGAGCGTAACAGGAAGTTAATGGACATGGGAATTTTATTTCTTCTTTGGTACTCAGAATTGAACTCAGGGCCTTGCACATGCTAGACAATTGCTCTACCACTAAGCCACATCCCCAGTTTATATATATATATATATATATATATATATATATACCTTTATTTAATTTATTCATTTTTATGTGGTGCTGAGGATGGAACCCAGTGCCTCACATGTGCTAGGCAAGTGCTCTGCCACTGAGCTACAGCCCCAGCCCCCAGGCCCAGTTCTTGGGAAATGTTATTGAGGTTTAGTAGAGAGAACTTGTTGCTAGACCGGATGGGAGGAAATTAGGTGAAAGAGAGGACTCTGAGAAGGCTCCAGATTTCTGGCTTGAGCAACCAGGTG